CTCAGAGTCCGGTCTTTATCTGAGCTATCTAATGTGCTAGAACAGGTGAAATATTTGTTAAGGAATTCAACATCAACATTATGATGAGGAGAATTATTGTACAACAGTGTAGTAGGAACGACGTTTTGCTATTATAATTTATCAAATAGGTAATATACATAATACCTATATAATTTTTAAAATACATTAAAACCTTTACAACTATTTTTACCTGCAATTAAATATACTAAATACTAAACAAAAACTATTTCAACAACTATTTAGGTACATAAAAATATTTACGTAAGCAGAGGAAAAAAACTTTAACATTCGATCGCCACCAACGTGCCAGCCCTGACTGCGTTATTTCGCCCGGGCGCGTTGCGATTTTAGGTAATTATTTCACGTAGGTAGCAAGAGTGATAGAGGCCTGCTATTAGCTAAGGATGATCGATGTTTTCGAAACATCGATGATGACATCGATGTTGGTATCGATAGTTTAACATCGATGTTCGATGTTTATCCCATTCAAAACATCGATGTTGGACATCATCAATGTTGTTGCACATGTACCAATTTAATAGGTTAAAGGGAGACGGGCGAAAGTTCATAGAAAGCTGGGCCTGATGTTACAGTAACGAATACTGCATAATTTTATTTATATAACAATATCATTTTAAAAAAACTAAAAATTTTACGACTGCTTCATGGTAGAAAAAAATATAGGATGTTCTTGGTTTGTATCAAAACAATGTTATTGCTTACGTTATGCTTACAATGTTGTTCTTACACCAAGTTCTCACATTGCACTTTAAGAAAATAATTATTAGACTTTATTGTAAACTAGACTTTACCTACCATAACTTTACGTATTGTAGGACATTCACACATAGAGGATTCGGACGCCGCCGTCCAACTAAATTCTAAAGGTTTGAAAAAAAAACAGAGGGTGTATGAATTAAAAACACTTTCTCTTTTAATGATTTATTAATCGTCCACTTCATCATAAACAAACAAAATATCGTCTAAAAACAGTGCAGGCGCTATTAAATTCTCTTGATGCCTTGCCTAGCTTAGGTACAATATTATGACATTAGATGACAACAACAACCTACAGTTCTTTTTCCTACCAAGCAATTAAAATAATACTGTTTGATGGCCTCCCTACCATTAAGAGAACTGTCAACTAAAATATATGTAAAATATGTTTTTGAGCTGTTTGATTTGAATGTCTCAATTTCATACGACCTCTTAGAATGATTGCATATTTACAGTTCTCTTAGTAGGTAGCTGTCAGTTTCTCAACACACTTCTATTTCATGGGTATGTTCCGAAATACAACCCAGTACACTGTCGAATGCGAATGACGTCATGAATCGGCGCTATACTGGTGATTCGTTCCAAAACATAGGACTGTATATTACGTCATACATTTACGCCATATTGGAAAAGTGTTGGCGATTATTTTGTCATTTTGTGCTCCAAAAATCATTATATCTTCCTAGTGAAGATACCAGCAATTATTCTATAATTTTTTGTACTTGAATAAATAAAACAAATTCTGGCATGCTTCATTCAGCGCACACACAATTAAAAATTGTTTTATTGTGGCCGGATATCCGACGCAATATGGCGGCGGTACGCCAGTATAATATAGTGTCAATTGATGACGTCATTTGCATTTGCCAGTGTACTGAGTTGTATTTCGGAACATACCCCATATCTCCCATTTTGTCGTATGTTTTCTCCATTATGGGACCTAGCCTACTTAATATGATAAATACCTACTTTTATTAAATCGCCATGTGTAGGCTGGGGGAAATCATCAAGAAAAGAAACCGGCGGAATCCTTTATACGTAGACAGTCGTTAAAGATCAGAACATTATTACAGTACACAAAAAGAACAGAAAATATTCAATACCACCGCAAGCTCAGACCCAAACAAACGTAGAAAATGATTTGATGACGTTTTAGTTTTCGAACTAACGTTGACATTCCCGCTTTGTGACCTGTATAAAACATTGATAATCGATTGTGAAATCGATTTATTAATCTATTCAGTCAATTTATTTTTACGACTTTTTTGAAACGTTGAAGTGTCACGAGGAAACCATTATTTAAATAATAACTTACTGTGGCCGGTGAGGAAGGAAAAGGGGAGATCTCCCGCCGGGCAAGGTGTTCTGCCCGGGGAGCGGCTCACACTCCGAGTGATAGTTCGGAGAAGTTCTATATATACTGTCTATGATTCGGAATGTTGATAGCGTGGTTTAAGCTTCGGTGTATTTCGCTTGTGGCGCGACGACAGCGCCGCTACATCACCCCCTGCTCAGACCGGAGGTCGATAGTGCAGCCTCGTTGCCGACGAATGTGCAAGTGCCAGGAGATTGCCTTGTAGTCTGCGGTGAGTCGAGAAGAAGGCAAGTAATCTGCGAGAGTGCCGTGAAACAGAGGCGAGCAGTAAGGCTCAGAGCCGTGCCGAACACTGTATGGCGCAGAGAGTAGCTTGAAGGAACAGGAAGCATTATTATTCCAGTGCTGCGATGAACCTTGTGAAGCTAGATGGCTTGCAGGATATGAAGACTGCAGTTTATATCTGCTCGGGAGCGAATGGGTGGGGTATTCTATGACGATGATGAAGCTTGATGTTTGCGAAGGTTTTTGGTTGCGTTTTCAGATCACGTCGGGGTCACCACTGTGGCCGGTGAGGAAGGAAAAGGGGAGATCTCCCGCCGGGCAAGGTGTTCTGCCCGGGGAGCGGCTCACACTCCGAGTGATAGTTCGGAGAAGTTCTATATATACTGTTTATGATTCGGAATGTTGATAGCGTGATTTAAGCTTCGGTGTATTTCGCTTGTGGCGCGACGACAGCGCCGCTACACTTACATAAAGATGAAAATAATCAATCACTTTTTATTGTTTTTTTTCTATTTTTTTATTAAAATCGATTAACTAACCTATTTCATCTGGCAGCATTGTTTAAAAATGAAAATAACTGAAGTCAGTATTATTTTTATTAAATATTTAATTTCTTTTGCCATGGTAAAACTGCTTAATATTTCATTATTAACTACAAAAAAACTGTAAAAAAATATTGATGAATATTTCACTTGTGTAACGTTAGGCTCAAATTCGCCCGTCTCCTTAGGTGAATAAAAATGTGTAGTGTTGTTTATGATTTATTGTTAATGAAATAAAAGAAATCATTAAAAAATGTAGAGTCAAACAGTCATTAAGAAAATAGGAAAAGTTAACATATATCTAGTTCATTTGTTATATTTTTGCCGATGATGATGAATGTTATTATTTTGATTTTTAAATATTCCTATACACTCATAAATCCGGTATGAAAAAAAACATGCTTGCAGCTCACACGCCACAGTAGTGAAACTTTCGAATGTAATGAAATATAAAATAAAAATACTTGAAATGATTTATTTAATATTATAATTTAAACAACAAGTTCAGCATAAAATATAAGAAAATATAATTTTATTTTTATTAGACAGATATTATATTACTCTTTTCGATATACCTTATATAGTACTCACTAATTACAAAAACATTTATATCAATTTTACTTATTACAAAGATGAGGTTTGGCCGTTCTTCACTACTTGTTAAATCCAATCAAAACGCTTAAGCGACGCCGTTTTGGCGGCGTTTCTCGTGAACATTGAGCTATAATCTATAATACTTCCTATCTCATTTTCTCCCACCTTAAATCTTATGAATTTATGTGTCTGCCTCTTTTTACTGTCGCTTTTTCGTTTCATCCAGTTTTAAATCACAACGATGCTAAAGAAGTTTTCACTTCAAAAACTCTATGGGATCTAATTTCCGATTTAGACGTAGGTTTTATATTGACTAGTCCTATCGCGAAATAAAAAATATGATTGAGAACAAAAATTAACAAACTTTACAAAAGCAAATTTATAGACTTTTCCGACACCTTTAATCACAATTTTTAATCAGGCAGCCCAAGCAGTAAGTATCCACAGCCATTTTTAAAATGCACTGTCGAATGCACTAAGCAGTGAAATTGTCTATGTTCACGATCCCCCAGTGATATATTTTCATAAACTTCATACAAACAATAAACTCGTTATACCAAGCTCAAAAAAGCAGCTATATATATAATTGAATTGTGTAGATACATATTGTTTCAAAATTATGTGGGTGTAGACAGGTAGAAGGGTAAAGAGAATTAATTTGAATATCTATTTATGTAGAATAGTTATAACCGTGCGTTTGCACTGACGCGATTTTCACGAAAAAACATGTTTTAAACACTGTTTTCTGTCAATGTACCAAAAAGCGTTTGCATAGTCAAGGAACATATTGTAGTTAAATATGTTTGACAGTTTATTGTACATTACGCAACAACCGACAACACTACAGAATAACAAAGTAAAAGCAGTGACAACTGTGACATTACAGTTCACACTTGACAGTGACTTTGACACACCATAATGATATTTTTTTAGGTTATTGATGCGTTTATGAATCCTGAATTATTCAAAATTTTAAACCTTTAATAGGGGATGAAATATTTAGTTGATATTGATTTCGCTTCTTCGAATTGTTCACAAGTTCTTATTAATCGATTAATGGTTCAGTGACATCGATGTTTCGATGTTTGACATGTGGCATCATCGATGTTAAAACATCGATGTTTTAACTTTTAACATCGATGATCATCGAAAATCGAAGATCATCGTACATCCCTACTTTAAGCCTTTTAGCTTCATCCAGAGAGTACCTTTGTATAAATAAACTGAAAGATCTCCAAGATCTTCTCGATCTTCTATTCAGAGCTTCAGGATTCAGATTTCAGATCTAGATTGGATTAGCACAGATTACTTTTTATATACCTGATCCTGAAATAGATTAGTCTGTCTGTAACGTATTTCTTCATAATTATAAAATTTATATTTTTAGGTTGGTATAGTGAATCAAAGTGCTAATAGTTATATTTTTCAATCAACAACTAATTTTGAATACTCAGTTTCACATTAAAATGAATACATTGTTTAGAAGAAGTTTTTTACCAGCGTTTAGTACATTTCGTGGATCATGCCGCTCATTTGCGGATGCAACTATAAATGAGAAAATTGACAAAATTGTGAAGAATAATAAGGTTGTAGTATTTATGAAGGGTGTCCCTGACGCTCCTAGATGTGGATTTAGTAACGCTGTAGTTCAAATAATGAGAATGCATGCAGTTCCATATGTCAGTCACGATGTTCTTTCAGACGAAAATCTTCGACAAGGTATTTTGGGGTTTTACGCATTCTTATATAATTATGAAAAATTACAAACCTACCACTATTTAGCTTAACAATAATGTTTTGATATTGCTTTTTTAAATTAAGCGTTTGTTTTAATTTTGATTTATTGGTAATTTATAACTATATAACGTCTTTTTCCAAGTAATGTTAACTTTCTGTTAGAAGTTGTAATTAGTGTTTTATTTAATAGAATAGGGTGTCAAACGAACACGCAGTCCACCTGATGGTAAGTGGATGCTGTGTCCCACAAACTCTAGATTTCACCTTGATTACAAATCAAAATGCAGATGAATTTTTACGCCTGAGGACTAAGATGGAATGCCTTACACTTATCATACGAAACACAGCAGCATTAAGCTGGTATTATGTGAGAGTGTGGTCCTTCCCAGGTCGAGCCGACATATTCATGCTACAACCATTATATTGCTGTAGCGTGACTACTATGAGTATCTAGGTTTTCTTTTCATTTCACATATCTTATGAAAAAATGAGGATATAATCTCTAAACAAACATAAATTATACATAAAAATTAAATAGCTGATTGCATAATATTTCGTTTTCATTCAAATAAATTCAGGGATTTTTTTAAAAAAATATTTTACAATTTATTATTACAATTAATTAATAATTGAAAATTGATAGTGAGGATAGACCAAGTCCCCATCCATACTTACTTTTTAAATAAAGGTCATAAATTTTTAGTTTTCAATTTGTTTATAGGTATTAAAGACTACTCCAATTGGCCAACAATACCTCAAGTGTTCATAAATGGTGAGTTTGTTGGAGGATGTGATATTATGCTTCAAATGCATCAGTCAGGTGAATTAGTTGAGGAACTTAAAAAAATTGGAATTAAAAGTGCCTTGTTAACGGCTGAAGAAACAAAGAAAGAAAAAGAGAACAAGTAACAGTGCTTTAGTTCCAACAAACTAAAAATTTATTGACTTCATATGTATGTAGTATGTCTTATTATGTTGCTGATAATATATTTAATTCTCAATATTTGCATTAACTAAATAAACAAACATGGTTAATAGTTTTATCAGTGTACTCAGTTCAATATAAGTAAGAAATTTTAAAAAATTACTAACTTTTATTTATTGGTAGTATTTTTCTATGTATTAAAATAATGTAAGATCTTTGTTATCTAGTAACTAGAACCTAACTTTATAACCAGAATTTTATGATTGTGAAATTGTTGAAGAATTAATGATTATTATGAATATTTTTACATTTAGGTTTGTTAGTTTTGGTTAATCTTTATTAGATGTTACAAGTTTGAGGAAAGGAAATAAATAAAATTATCTGATGTTTAAGAGCTCTTTATTAAATTAGCTGTACATTCGAGTTAGTATACTTTTTGGGCACATAATTCATTCTTAATCTACATCCACTGTTTCCTCATATAAATTATAGGTTTTAACAACACAGTCAATATTAAAAGACAAAAATATGGCAGATCATTTATTTTGAGTACTCATTCCAAAATACTCTCACAAACGATATACATATATATAAAAATGATAGTGAGTGATAAATAAATAGATGCAGGCAAGGTATGGCAATCTATAATATAAATAATTTATGTGACACTTCCCTGCAACATTTATTAATTTTGGCAACTCAAAAATAATAATGGTTACCTACCACAATAATTACTAATGGCAGTAATTAAAATTTGAACTTTTATAAATAATGTATGCTTAAAAATAAAAAAAATATATAATATGTATATAACAAAAACACCCTCACATTTTCCATGAGTCTTATTTTGGTGTTACACATTAGTGAAGCCTAACATTAGCACCAAGTTTTACTTACAAATAAATGTTTTGTGACTTTCCTGACAATTTCATACAAAAGATAAAAATACCTAATTCTAATATAAATAGTATGTTTTAGACATAAGTAGATGATTTCTCTTATTTGAGCCAAACCATTAGGAGAAGAAATTTTTCTTGATAAGAAAGTTAATGGCATTTTTGGTTTTAACATTGCACTTATTTGATACAGAACTGTTTTATAAGACTAATGATATCACAAAAATTGTTTGCTTTATGTTAACACTTGATTAGGACAATATGTCAGAATTTTGTCAACATAAGGGAAATAATTTATGTGTTGTTACGCCGATACCACATTATCTTGGGCCAAGGTTGTTAGTAGTGATGAGTGCGGCGACTGGACTCCGAGCAAGTTCTTGTAATGTACTCCATAACCTCCCAGGTAGAAACGACTTCTGATGCTAAGACCTGTATCTAAACAATTTATTGTTTTAGGTAGGTATAGTATTTTTTTGTATAAACACAATTTTTTATCTTTGGTAATATTATTTTGTTAGTCTATAAATTTAAAATTCTAGGTTTCTAGGCATTATATATTGTTATAGTTTTGACAATTTCAATTTTTTTAAAGAAAATTTTTTCTTAGGAACAAATAAATTGCTTTTAAAATAGACCATTTAAAAAGGCACAACATTATGGGAATTAGATCAATGGAGATGAATTTTGAGGACAGATTGTGGGAATGGTGGGAATGTAGTAATTAATCTACTTATTTACTGATTTTTGTTTTAACTCTACAACATATTTGAAATTAGTGTAGCAATACAAAGTGAGAATATTGTTTTGACAGACTTTTTTTTTGTAATGCATAGTAGAAGAAATCTTATGGACGCCACACACGCTCAGTTCAACTGATCATTCCAACTAATCAGTTCAAACTAAAACTGTTGATATTTTTTTAAATAGTGGATTTTCGATATATCGATCATTATAAATATATTAATATCGGAGTTTTATATATAAGTTTATTTAACTTTAACTGACCGTGTGTGGTGGCCACAGTTCTTTCATTAGTGGTAGAGCTCTGCTACAGTTGTATTATGGCTGGAGTGGGAATGGGTCGGCTCACTGAGAATGGACTATACTTATTTAATAGTGTGGAATAGTAGCATAATACTTGTTTAGTTAGCATAAAGTTGTGTTTTGTAGGGTGAGGACCTGGACCCTTTTCCTGAACCTGGATTCTTAATCAAGGATAAACGTGGATATGGGTCACAGTATCTACTTACCATTGGGTGGGCTGTGTGCTCTTTGTCACCCTTATTCTATAAAAAATTGATGGCTGTAGATGATAGGACATAGTTCAATTACACAATTCGGTTGACTGTATGGTTGTTAGTCTCGTTTTTCTTTAAAAAAGTTGTGTGTGTGTGTGTGTGTGTCTGTGTCTGTATGTCTCTCTGTGTCTGTGTGTGTATGTCTCTCTCTCTCTCTCTGTGTGTGTGTCTGTGTGTGTATCTCTCTCTCTCTCTCTCTCTCTCTCTCTCTCGGCTCTCTCTCTCTCTCTCTCTCTCTGTGTGTGTGTGTGTGTGTGTGTGTGTGTGTATGTCTCTCTGTGTCTGTGTGTGTGTGTGTCTGTGTCTGTATGTCTCTCTGTGTCTGTGTGTGTATGTTTCTCTCTCTCTCTCTCTCTCTCTCTCTCTGTGTGTGTGTGTGTCTGTGTGTGTATGTCTCTCTCTCTGTGTGTGTGTGTGTGTGTGTGTGTGTGTGTGTGTGTGTGTGTGTGTGTGTGTATATATACCTAAAGGTCGGTCTCGCCGTAGAGCGCGGTGGAGAAGGCCATGTAGTCGAGCGCGCCGGGCGGCGCGCCGTGGCCGCGGTAGGGCGGCATGCGCGCCACGCAGTACTCCGCCTGGTCGGGTGGCAGCTCGCGCCGCAGCTCCTCCGCCGTGATGTATGGCTGCATCACAACATATTATGTTAAGAGGAACGCACATTTGTCCACACCGTACGCAATTGCCAACAACTTTTTTCAATGACTGGCGTAAAACGGTACAGTGACATTGATCGCTCATTTGCTATGGAAAAAATTGTTATAATAGCCTTTTTATTGGCAGAGAAAACAGAAAATAAAATTCGAAGAAAAGAAGGTTCTAAATTCATGATATTAATTTAAAAAGGTAGTTGTTATGGGGAATATTATACTTTATTTAATGACTTAATTAGATGATGATGAACAATTTTTAAGATGTTTACATTTGTCTGCAAACTCCCAAACAGATTTTTGTTGTCAGTTTTTTCTTGCGTCTACAAATGAAAAATATGTGAAAATATAGAATTTGAAAACCTGAGCAAATTTTTCTTCAGTCATACTACTGCAGGAAGTCAGGAAACATATTTCAATTTGAACAAAATTCACATCAGGCTAGGCTGTATGGTATAATAATTTTGCCTGTCATAATTGGTGAACGAGAATCGTAACTATAATATTATATTATATTATAGTCAATTTAGTATAGATTCTATTCTGCTTTTTTGACGTTACTAGATCTTTTTCCATACTTCGATGGGCCATAAGCTTGATTAGATAATACATAGTAAATTATTTTAATGATATCTGTAATGGTGACATAAGTAGACGCTTAATAATTCCATCATCATTTTTACGCCATTGTCCATTGCACTTGTTTTTAAGCTAACTTTACTATGAACTAGAACACTACGTATTTTTGAATGTTTTACTCTTTTCTTATTATTTCTTACTTAAAGAAAAGATACATACATAAACATCTCATAAAGTTGTGAAGAAATTTCAAAAATATAAAATCTGGCCTTTTACATACATAAATTTAAAGATATTTTCCTATACTCAGATGATCTGAGTTCCTATAAAACATCTTTTAAATTGCATATGAATAACCATCCATATAAATACTTCATAGGATTGGGAATAGAACTGGAGCTAGTAACACCACACCACTACCAATATCACTGCATGACTGATCTGTAAACAAACTGTATTTTGTATAGGTTAATGATGAAGGGATAGAAGAACATTATACTGATTCTCACTGAAATATAGTGGTGGGTATTAAGTTATTGATAAAATAATGAAGAAAATAGGTGTCCCGGTTTACCTTGTCACCAGCTAAGATCCTGAAGCTGTCAATGACCTGTTCAGCGGTGTCTGTATCAGTGGATTCCCTTGTCATGAAGTCCAAGAATGCGTCGAATGAGACGTAACCTGATACAATATTTAATACGATTAAATCACTTGATTTTCTACATATTGGCACTTGCTAATATATTAAAACTGCTACATTATCGCGTGAAAATCAATTTGTAATTAAACAAGGATAGAGTAAAAGTTACAGCAAACAGCACAAATAATAGATTATCACACTTCTAGTTTTATTACAGAAATGAGTACTTAAGTTACATTTATTATTTAATTAAATGTATTATTATTGTGATATTTATAATTTTTCAGACACTAAACATTACGCGAGTGTCAGCTGTGCTGTTACTAAATAGCAACACTCCTTAAGCTATCTTTATTTTAATTGTTTATTCTCTACTTAAACTTTAAAGATGACAATGAAATAAGTATATAGTACAAACCTGTGTTGTTGGGGTCTACAACGGCGAGTATGCGCTGGAAGTCGAGTTCTCCTTGCCTGTCCTTTCCAATGCTGTAGCCGAGAGACACGAGGCACGACTTTAGCTCTTCCGGAGCGAGGCGGCCTGAACACATAGAGGATACAAATACATAGAGCTTTTAATTTATCCTATCAAAATTCATTCATTATTGTTAGCCTATCAAAAGTCCACTATAGTAGTAAGTAGTAATAGAGGAGATATTTGCAAAACTCTCCACGCTCGACAGGCATATTTTTTATTAAGTTGTCATCAAGAAAATGCTGCTAACCATCTTCTGTCTCATTTTAGTTCACTCTTATGACATCCAAGGGATGATATGGAGTAGCGAATTCTCTTACGCCGCCACAAAATCATTTAAACTTCAAAAAATTATTACTGTATTGCGCAAATAATTAATTTTATTTTACTTTTAGTAGTGTTATATGGGATTTAATTAATTTAATTTTGCTCACAAGTTTTTGATTAAAGTAGTGAGGATGTCAAGAGGCATTTTCAAAGACATTACAAAGGAGCATTACCTGTGCGGTTCTTGTCGAAGTGGTTGAAGGAGGCACGGAATTCGTTGAGCTGTTCGTGTGTGATGCCCTTGGAATCGCGAGTTAAAATCTGATTCTCCACTTCGTTGATGGTTCGGTTGATGGACGTTAGTAGTTGTTCCCAGCCGACACGGAGTGTCTCCATTGTGTATTGCGAATATCTGTGCAGGACAAAAATAGGTTTATACGTGGTAGAGCCATGCTGCAGTTATATTAGTAGTATAGTTGTAGCACGAATGGGTCGGCTCGACCGGGAAAGGACCACGCTATCACAGAACACCAGCGTGAAATAGTAGCTTAATGCTGCTGTATTTCGTATGGTGAGTGTAGAGAACCGGAGACCCTTTTTATTGGAAAAGAGGCATTCCATCTTAGTCCTCACGCGTGACAACACATCTGCATTTTGATTCGTAATCGAGGATAGATGTAGATGTATATGGGCCACAGCAACCACTTACCATCAGATGGACTGTGTGCTCGTTTGTCACCCTATCCTATAAAAAAAAAAAATATAAATTGTATAAATCAATAACATACCTACGTACTTGGATGGGGAGCGGTAATGGTAACAAAGAGATTGCTCGGGGCGTAAGCGAATACAAGAACTTTTTTCTAAATGCACATCATTTGCACTCGGTGAAAGGATTTCTTTCCTGCCTAGGATTCCGTCTGGGTAAGAACCGCCTCCTTACCTATTTCTGCCGCATAATTCAGAACGCCTTGAAATAGTGGGTGTGTTAAGCAGAAAAAAGCGCTAGGAATCGCTTGTAAGCAAAATGGCAAAACTACAGTTTTCGGCCAAGACACGTTTGCTAACTTCAGTAGCGCTGACACAATCCGCCATTTTGCTTATTTAATTTGAAGTGGAGTTTATAAGTTGTTTTGTGCAACTAGTTTCAAGTTATATAATATATTACTTGATTAAGTAACATGAATAAATATTATACATGTTATTAAAAATTCATGATTGATAAGTTTTTAATATGAATAGTGAATACTTTACAAACATATTTAAATTAGGCTATGTTCCCCGGTTAAAGCTAACTTAGTGTCCTAGAGGAAAATAGCTATTTACCATTTGACAGCGCTTACCGCGTCGCTTACGATCGAAATTTTGCTTACAAACGCTTCTTAGCGCTTTTTCTGCCAAACACAGCCAGTGCAAAACAACTTCCTACGATGCATGCATATTAAACATTTTCATAGTAAATTGTCTTACTCAAAATTGTTACAACATAAATCATTTAATCTAAAAACTAGAAGGTTACAATTACAGGTTAAGCTATTATACGACTTTTGCAATAAGAAGTACTATTGTATTGATATAGCAGATAAGTTATGTTATAAAGTACCAGTTATGTTACAAAGAACATGCCGTACATATATAAACTGTTTGCTACACAGTCTTGAACGAATGCTGGGAAACGTTCACCATTGACTCAAATGACTGAAGCGTATAACAGCTGCTTCACTACCCTAGATATATTTGCATCAAATGTTATTTCCTTTAGAAAATCAGTTTTTAATCTGTTGCGTGAAGTCAACACCACGCAATAAATCACATTTGATTGAATTAAATCCATAGCCAGGTTACTTAATAGAAATACTAATTTTTAGCAAACACACGCAATTTTTTATGCAATAATTTGTGGTTACGGTGTTAGTTTCACAATTATTTCGTTATGATGTGTATGTATATTATTTGTAAAATAAGTTTGTTGACCCAATAAATTAAAAAAATATACTAATTGCTTGCTGCAACTTGTACTGCCGTGTTCTGGAATGAAGAGTATAGCAAACCAGTATAAACAAGCTGTGAGGCATTTCATCGTAGTCCTTACCTTATTTTACATATAAATATTTTAATTTCTAAATACCAATGAAATTCTATGATACTGTTACGTAACATAAACGCTTAGGTCGCTTTTTTATAAGCCCCATATATATATACAACTAAGTCTAGAATCCTGTAAATAAAATCCTTGTTAATATTTGAGCGCTAAAAGTAAATTATTCCTTTTGACAATGTATGCAAGTTTAACATTAATCATAAAAGCGTTAATATTTAAATACGGATAGGTTATGACAAGTGCACTTTAATATGATACCATCTATAACTTTGATGGTGCTAAAGGCACATTATCCTCACCTGTTCTCGAAGATCATGCCCTCTTGCACAGCCTGGTGGATGCGTTCCAGTTCTTCGATGTGCGGCTTGTACGCGTATACGCCCGCTTCGTATTCCTTTAGTCTTCGGAGCTGATCTTCCAACGAGCCCTGCCCAATAATTAAAAATATTAAATTATTCGTGTAGTCAATATTTTTTACGAGATGGGCACAAGGGTGTACAGGTCTTGTCTTTTTATAACATACAGTATATTTTTTCTTCGTGTAGAAGTTTTTTTTGTACTATACTTTCTGTGGGAGGTAATGTCATCCTAGCAACACCAAATTATATTCATTGCTATAATTTAGTAAAAGAACGACTTCATAAAATCACTAACATACAGATGTATATTATATTATCATCATCACTAAGATGGTGTTTAGCTCCTGTATCTTGCAATAATAGAAAGCACTTGTTGTTGTTGGTCCTGCGGCTGATCCTTCTCATTTCAGCTGTTTTATCTTGTCCCATCGGGATATGAGAGTGGGGGAATAGAGAACACCTAAGCTTGCGCATACACTTGGGCACTTTAATTTCTTTCTGCGTAGATAGCTAGTCTCTGTTGCGTCTGGCCGTGATGACTGGAACCGGACGGGGGACATTATTATTAACTATAATAATCATTATCATCATTAAAGCCTATCATATTGCTGAACATATTATCATTATTATTTATATAATTTCAAATATCCAGGACTCATTTTTATTTACATTACATTAAATTAAAAAAAAATTAAAATCAAATAATCTAACAAAATATGGTGAGACAAATATATAAAAACTATTAATTATTACTAAATGCTGTAATGCACATAAACAGCAGTCAAATTACCTGCTGCGCAATGCAGTCTACAACAATGTTGCAGATAGGGACAGTTCACTCTGTCACCTATCATTTTAAGAATGCCATTGGGGCTGGCCCTTACCCTACGCACCAGCGATGCAGCTCTTTTACGCAAAGTTGCGTAAAAACAATCTACATGTGCTTGAGCAAACATCGCTGATGCGCTGCAGCGTCGGGACAGCCCCATCAGCACCCGGAACGCGTTGTTATATTGGATCCGGAGAGCTCCATAGGCCCGTTGCGTGTAGTCCCTCCACAGGCTGCACGTGTAAAGAGATGTACAAAACGCTCTAAATAAAGTGAGTTTAACCTCCCTTGAACATCTCGCGAACCTACGAGCAATCATATTTGCACGAACCAACAGAGCCCTACGTTCCTTTTCCATGTCAGTAGTATCCTTGAGGTCGGACGTAACCATATGACCCAAATATTTGAAAGAGTCAATCCAACTAGTTTCAAAATGGGTCTTGTGTGCCATTCAATTTAGTAGGAGGCACATTACGCGTACGATGCCTCATGCTTCCCCCATACATTGTCTTTTAGGCGGGATTTTGTATTTTGTCACCGTGACCACGCTTGGCAAGCGATTTTACTTTCAGTTGATCTCGGGAAGATGCTGCTGCCCAAATCCTGTTTCATTGAATTGGTATCGATTGTATGGTGAGCAGTGGTTACCTGCAGGCCCATGCCGATGGCGGTGACGGCGTCCATCTGGCGCTCGATCCAGGGCCCGACGGCGTTAGCCTTCTCGGCGAACTGGCGGCGCAGCGTCTCGTTGTTCTGCTGCTTGCGCAGCTCGGCGGCCAGCGTGCCGTCGCGCTGCGGCACCAGCTGTCGTACATCCGACCACTTGCCCATCAGCTCCTGCAACAACGCCAACACCTCTCACTCATCTTATTACTGATTACGCGCCGTTACAATGTTAAATAAATAGCATAAAATTTAAAATAAACACGCATTGATCTTGAGCTCAATATTTCAAGATCAATTAATTATATTTCATTTTATCTTATGATCCTGATCAGGAGAGAAAGATAAAGTATTTAAATTATTATACTATTATCGCTCCTTGAAGTGCAGATTTTAAAGTCAATCGGCCGTCTACAACTTGATGAAAATTACTTTAAAAGATTCCGTTACATAAATAAATAGATATACGCGAAGCGAATAAGAAATGAATTTATTTCAGACTTTTGGTCCATACGAAGTGTTAGTACAAAAGAACTTACGTAGTAAACTTACTTAGTAAACAGAATGAAACTACACTAGGAAATTAATTTAAATATTTTCCGGGCCAGTTTGTGGCGCTTGGTACACTTTAAAAGCATGTTAAAAATCACGACATTTACATTTAGGTTTACTACTACGTATAGAGACGACAACGCCTTGCATGCTTTTGCGCATCGCTTTGCGGTACGTTTTTTATTTATTTATTTGCTTTTTAAGAGAAACATACAGTACAATAAAAATACATTTTAAAACATATAAAAGTAATCCTAATACCAATGAAGTTTCCACAGATATCTAATACATATTAAAAGCTTGCAACCAAAATATGTTTAAAGATTTAAAAACAAAAAAACTAAATGGTATTTATAATTAAACATTAAGTACCGCAGTTAAAAGTAATACAATACACACAACCTACAGTGAAGCTACCAATTATAAATTAAATTTTATAATATTTTTTTTATATAACTACTATATTTAAGGTAAAAATATCTCGTTCACAATATTTTAAGTTAAAATTTTTACATGTACGAGATACAAAATTATTTGAAGCATAATTCGTTTTTTACGTTGTACCGCAATTGTTTAGTGAGTGTCCAGGTGATGCTTTAACACTCGTCGGTAAGTATATATTAAAACGTTTAAAACTCTTAGATTTAAAGTTTTACTATATTACGCTAGTAATATAGTTAGATGGATATTTTCGGTATAAGTCCTTTACCAAACTGGAAACGGCGAATACGTTTAGGTGTACTAGAACTACCATACTAGAGTTACGTCAAAAATGATAAATTTGTTATTCGACATTCCATATTTTAAAATCTATCAAGCCATTTAGGCTTCAGCCAAAGAAATAGACAATCATACATATTATATACACTCAAAGACATACTCTACTTCAATCTCAGTAATTTTGGCAATTTCGACGCTCACTTGACAGAATCCGTAATAAAAATATAAGTATTATAGGTGTAAGAAAAGTTAAAAATTTAGAAAAAAATCGTTCGTGTTTACAGAAACGAATATTTATTTAAGTATAAATCGATACGGAATTTTAAAAGTGAACTGAATACTTACGTGTGCGGTAAGTGTAGTGTAGGGATTCTCTAAACCTCCAGGGATCTGGTGTTGCTTCACGATAGATTCTACTTGGTGCACAAGGTTTACTATCGCCTGCAATATAAAAATAAATATAATAATTAACAAAATTCTAAATTTTGTAGTACAATAAATTCTTATATAAACCCGACGTATTATTTAGAATAATCACCTGGTACTCCTTGTCAGCTTCACCAAGAGTCGCCTTGAAGCGAGCGTGTGCGTCCATGAGGCCGGAGATTTCTTCAATGGTGTGTACGATAAACATGTCCACGAGATCTTCGCGAGTTCCGTCCAACCTAAAAATTTAGTTATTATAATTATTTATGTTTGTGTACAACAGGATACAGATTAAATACGTCGTTATTTAAAGTTTTGAGGCAGATGATTGATTCATAGCAGATTAATGATATTTACAGTTATATCTCCTGCATTTTCTGTAACACGAAAATATTTATTCTCCTGATCGTATAACATATCTTAACATATTAAACTGTACTCAAAAACTCAAAAAATATTATTAAGATAATATAACTTCGTCTTATAAAATCAATCAGAACCATAGTTATAATTTAGTTTGTATAATAGTGAAACAGGCTGTATATAGTTAAGTAGTTTGCGCTGCCTAATAGAACCGGTTCATCGAACTGTCCCATGAGAATTGCAAATGGGTGTAAGTGGTAACTTACACAATAAAAAAGGTATATTTATATTGTTACGAGCTTGAGGTTCGTGACAATAAAAATTGCCGATAGAATTACCAAAATTAACTCTTTAATTCACTTTACACTAATTAAAACTTAGAACACTAATAATTAATCACACTGATTCACTTTATTTCGCTCCGAAGCTTCGCTTGTCTCGCAAAATTCAATACTTCCTCGATCGCATCTTGCAGCGCCTTTAAATTCACATTATCACCGAAACATCCAGAATATTCAAGTAAATACGCGCGCCAATCGACCAGGCGTCGAAAGTTCGAGTGTCGGGCTTCTAGGAGCTTAGTTCTTCGTTTCGACACTAGATGGCGCTGTCGGTTGATAGATTAGTGTTGCTATTTTCTGGAAAGCTGCCCTCGCTCTCGTCCCCGACACTAGATGGCGCTAGTGCCGGGTACATGACGTCAACTTAGGCGTGCAACACTGCCCCCTCCTAAGACATGCTCGTCCCGAGCATTATCGGCCCCATAATAACGCGCCAAGCGATCCACATGGACGATCTTAGGAGTCCCTCTTGCGCCTTTCTGTATCCGGTAGGTTACATCGTTGATCCTGGTTACAATCCGGTTCGGGCCGTCCCTAGGCCGTCACTAGATGGCGCTAGTGTCGGGTACATGACGTCAACTTAGGCGCGCAACAATATGTATATACATTTTTTGGTAACTTTTAGTAAATTAATTAAATATTTATTAAAAGCAGTGCGTTAGTTGTGAATGTGAGTACCAATAATGGTTTGTAAGAATACTTTTGATAAATAAATATGAAGAAATAAAACGTATCGATGATTGACTTAACACATGAACGAATGATCCAATATACTCGCGCCACCATTATTTATTTATAGTTTTTTCAGTCTAGAAGTATGTCTGAGTTACTCCTCAAAATGCACTTGCTCGAGTAATGTTAGTGTGAGCATGCTCTAGTGAGTGTATGGTGATGCACTCGCGATCGCAATGTGCTGTTGTGTGTGTGTGTGTGTGTGTGTGTGTGTGTGTGTGTGTGTGTGTGTGTGTGTGTGTGCGTGTGCGTGTGTGTGCGTGTGCGCGTGTGCGTGTGTGTGTGTGTGTGGTGATGGAGTGGCTGAAGGGCACCGACCAGTTGTTGAAGGGCGCGGCGCGCTTGGCGAACTCGAGGTGCAGCAGGTCGAACTGCTCGAGCACGCGCTCGCAATGAGCTAGTGTGTGTGTGCGTGCGTGAGTGTGTGAGTGTGTGTGTGTGTGTGTGTATGTGCGTGCGTGCGTGTGTAGGTGTGCGTGTATGCGCGAGCGTGCGCGTGCGCGCGCGCGCGTGTGTGTGTTGATGCAATGGCGGAAGGGCACCGACCAGTTGTTGAAGGACGCGGCGCCTTTGGCGAACTCGAGGTGCAGCAGGTCGACTGCTCGAGCACGCGCTCGCAATGTGCTAGTGTGTGTGTGCGCGCGTGAGCGCGTGCGTGTGTGTGTGTGTGTGTGTGTGTGTGTGTGTGTGTGTGCGCGCGTGCGTGTGTAGGTGTGCGTGTGTAGGTGTTCGTGTGTGCGCGTGCGCGCGCGTATTTGTGTGTGTTGATGCAGTAGCGGAAGGGCACCGACCAGTTGTTGAAGGGCGCGGCGCGCTTGGCGAACTCGAGATGCAGCAGGTCGATCTGCTCGAGCACACGCTCTGCGTCGTCCAGCGCCAGGCGGCGACGCTGTGTGAGCGCGCCCAGCCGGTCCCACTGCGAGCAGATGCGCTGGCAGCGCGCGTTTACCGCGCCCACCTCGTGGTACTCCAGCGTGCTGCACGAATGTACTAGATACAATAACACTGCCTCACAATGCCATATAGTGACGGTGTAGGAATATCCAGTACCCCATAACATCCCGTGGGTGTTGTAAAAGGCGACAGAAATAAATAAATCAGGAGATGTGCACCAGCGTCTTCCTATTTTTTTTTTTTTTTTTTTTATAGGATAGGGTGACAAACGAGCACACAGTCCACCTGATGGTAAGTGGTTGCTGCGGCCCATAGACATCTACATCTATCTTCCATTACAAATCAAAATGCAGATGCGTTGTCACCCGTGAGGACTGAGATGGAATGCCTCATTTCCAGTAAAAAGGGTCTCCGGTTCTCTACACTCACCATACGAAATACAGCAGCATTAAGCTACTATTTCACGCTGGTATTCTGTGAGAGCGTGGTCCTTCCCCGGTCGAGCCGACCCATTCGTGCTACAACTATACTACTAATAGCATGGCTCTACCACGTATAAATCCTAATAACGATTAAAAATAAAATAAAAACTGTGCTTGTCAAGCGTAGCAACTATCCCGCATATATGCAGCCCTATGTTTAGCAGTGAACATAAAAAAGTGCGTACCATCGGTTCTGACGATACGCATAACCGATCGTCAGTTTGTAGCGTTCAGTGCTCTCCTGAGCAACGAAATTGGCCGAACTGGTACAGTCGCAAACACGTACACGAATTGGACGCATTTACAAATTGTTTAATTGCTGCTTACTATGTTCGTAAACGTATAAGGAACAGAAGACGTAGATATCAGGTACACCCAATCGTCGCCCAAAGAGTACTTCAAAGAGTATTTACTACTTTATATTCATTATTTATTATTCGAAGATGAAGAATTTTTTTAATTACTTTAGAATGTCGATCAATAATTTTGATCATTATCAGTGAAATCACTAACACTGCTTAATAAAATCATACAATATTATTGAAGTTTAGGTTCGATTTTGTTGACGATGATACACGCATCCGTATGGTCGGTCGGTCCACCGAACGGTGTAGCACTGAACGCGTTAATATGTTTCCATAGTGCGTCGGTCGACCGACAGTACGAATGCGGACGCGCTTGACCGACGGTCCTCGTACGCAGTGCGTAGCGATATACGCGTGCGTACGGTCGGTCGAGCACTGTCACGACTTGTGAATTTTCATACAAATGGCAAGAGCGACCGATGTACGCACTGACGGTCGGTCCGTGCCTCGTTTCCAGTAAAAAGGTTCTCTGGTTCTCTACACTCACTATACGAAACACAGCAGGGTTGAGCTCCTATTTTACGCTGGTATTCTGTGAGAGCGTGGTTCTTTCCCGGTCGAGACGACGCATTCGTGCTCCAACTGTACTACTAATATAGCTGCAGCATGGCTCTACCACATACAAGAGTATGAACTAATGAGTCATTAATATAAATCTACGTACTTGAGCTCTTGAGCAATGGCGGCAATTTGTTCGACGCGGTCCTGATGTGCGGCCAGGTCGGACTCGAACGCCTCGTGCTTCTTCTTTAGCGCTTTGATGTCGTACAGCTTGCATTGACGGAAGTCTTGCGATTGCAGCATCTCTTCCTTGCCTGAAATGGTTATCATTTTATGAATAAATACTGTTTATATGACTTATAAACGGTTCGAACTTAATACAAGGTTGTAGCAGTTGTTGTATGTTTTTGTATATGTAGAATATTCAAAAGGGTTAATATTTCAGAATGTAATAATAAATCAAAGGCACAAGTTTATATAATTAGAATGTGTTAACCCACAAAATACGTACTTCATAAAGTATTATGTAGTAGATAATGTTAACATCAAAAAATTTATATAGAGAGAAAAAGCGAATGGGTGAATGGAACATAAGGGATTTGGCAAAGCAATAATCGCCTTTCATAATAGATAATGTATGAGTTAATAGATGTTTAAATGTCTTTCACCTCTAGTCCAGTCCTCATGGATGTCAGCCTTGTGCTTGAACTTCTGCGCGAGGTACTCCAAGCGTTCGAGTCTCATCATCTCGCTAAGTAACCATTCTTCGAACGCCTTCTCGGCGATCTCCAGACCCTTCCACGCTTGGGCAATGTCCTGAAAGTAATGCGAACGTAGAAAATATAATAAAGTAAAACTGACAAAATTTCATAAAGTTTACTGATCAGTAAAACGTTATTTGCTCTGGGAAGAACTGGCACGATATCCATGTTCTTGTACTTTATTTCTTAAAAATTATAAATGATAGACAATTATATAATATACAAAAAAGAAGCAGATAAGACGTTAGAGCGCCCATAGTTAAAACTGAAAAACGTCCTAAATTGTTGATCGAAGCCTAATTGGAACGTTTTGTCTTTAGTCCGCGTCACGCAGAGCGACGAGAAAGATGTTGTATATAAAATAATAAAAACCGGCCAAGAGCGTGTCGGGCCACGCTCAGTGTAGGGTTCCGTAGTTTCCCGTCCGTCACAATAAGTATTCCCACTTATGAGTTTAAAGGTGGGTACCCATTATGTTCGCGCTCCAGCAGCGCTCTGCGCTCCTGCAACTGCTCCCGGTAGTGGTACGTGCGCAAACATGGAGCGTGCAACATTGCACGCTCCGCGGCAGGCGCTCCGACTTTCCATCCAAGTTCAAAATTATTTTCCTAGAAAGTCCTTATAAAGTTCTACTTTTCAGATTTTTTTCATATTTTCTAAACTTATGGTTCAAAAGTTAGAGGGGACGAGAAACACACGAGGGGACGGGGAAAGAGAGAGGGGACGACACATTGTTTTTTACTTTTGGAGCGATTATTTCCGAAATTATTGACATTATCAAAAAATGATTTTAGTATACCCCTATTCATTTTTAAATACCTTTCCAACAATATATCACACGTTAGGGTTGAAATTAAAGAAAAAATCACTTCCCACTTTACATATAGGGGGCTACCCTAATAAAACATTTTTTCCAATTTTTATTTTACCACTTTGTCAAATTTCAGCTTTCTAGTGCTAACGGTCACAGAGATTAAGCGAGGACGGACAGACGGACAGACAGACATGACGAAACTATAAGGGTTCCTAGTTGACTACGGAACCCTAAAAATGCCATTGTCTGTATTTACAAAGTGTACCAATTATAATTTCAAAGTTAACAAAACACAAGGAATCTCATACTTATCACATGTAAGTATGCAATATACTTCGATTTATTAGTATATTTCAAATATTTTCCTAATATATATAATAATAATAATAATGATGACTGAAAAATCAGCGACAAACAACATTAAAATTTTCGGTCGCAAATTTGCCAGCGAATATGAGGGTAAAACTCTCTTAATGCTCGAAACTATTACTGTAAATAATTATAAGTGTGGAAGTGGAAGTAATGTATTACGGAATATTGAGAATAATGAATATTTAGAAAAAATATATTCAAATGTTTTTAATATTCGACATATTAAAAACACTTGTATATATTTTTCTATTGCTACTAGAATTAGAACTATTACTGAAGACACGCAAAAAAATTAAATGTTTTTAACGATGGTACAAGTATAAATGATAGACTTTAAATCATATAATTTTTACTCGTATAGGAAACCAGTATAAAATGAATAAATGTGCCGTTATTGTATTTGGAACACTTTTTTTTTTGGTGATTCTATGAGCTTACAATATAGTATGTAACATCATTGATGCTAAAATAAATTGTACGGTTTGAGAAAAATTTTAAATACTTACAGAGACCATCTTGCCTTCAGTGGGCATATAAGCAGGTCGGTTGCTCAGACGTAGTTTGGTCTGCAGAGTATTGAAGTTTGTTTCTAGCTTGGCTTTCTGTTCAACACGTGGTGGCTTGTGCTTACGCCTGAAAGGAACAATTTTTTATAATTTTACTCAAAATTTTGCTATACGTTATAATATCTATTAGATTTTTTTGAGCACATAAATATAAAAAGTATTCTAAAATCTAATACAAAGATAAACATTGGGTGCGTTTGGCAGAAAAAAGCGCTAGCAAGCGCTTGTAAGTAAAATGGCGATCGTAAGCGGTAAGCGCTGTCAAATCGTAAGTAGCTATTTTCCTCTAGGACACGAAGTTAGTTTTAACCAGGGAACCTAACCTAATTTAAATATATGTTTGTAAATTATTCATATTAAAAACTTACTTATTCATGTCATTATATTACTTGAAACTAATTGCACAAAATAACTTATAAACTCTACTTCAAAACAAACAAATTAAATAAGGAAAATAGTGGATTGTGTCAGCGCTACTCAAGTTAGCAAACGTGTCCTGGTCGCAAACTGTTTAGTTTCGCCATTTTGCTTACAAACGCTTGCTAGCGCTTTTTTCTGCCAAACGCACCCACAAAAACAACTTACCTGTAAGTGCGATAGTCCTCCAGCTTTTTCTGGCACCCAGCAAGTGAGTTATCGGTTTGACGGCTGTTCAGCCAAGGCATGGTTCGCCGGATCCATTCCAATAGCTGCGAGAATTTTATAATTAAAACATTATTAGCATGTATGATTTTTATGTTTAAATTATGCAAAGTTAGAATAATTCTTTTAGTTATACATATAATTTGGTATACAATTGAGCAAAAGTTTGTTTGTCAATTCACTAAACTTCATCATCATCATCATCATTACAGCCCTTCACAAGTCCACTGCTGAACATAGGCCTCCCCCAAGTAATGCCACAAAGCGCGGTCCTGAGCCACCTGCATCCACCGACTTCCTGATGTCTTACCAGGTCGTCACTCCATCTAGTGGGGGGTCGCCCTACACTACGCCTACCGGTACGAGGCTGCCACTCGAGAACCTTTCTTCCTCATCGGTTATCGGTTCTTCGAGCTATATGGCCGGCCCATTGCCACTTCAGCTTACTAATCCGTTGGGCTATGTCGGTCACTCTGGTTTTACTGCGGATATCCTCATTTCTGAGTCTATCACGCAGAGAAACTCCGAGCATAGCCCTCTCCATAGCTCGCTGAACGACCTTGAGCGTCCTCATACGGCCAGCGGTGAAGGACCACGTCTCAGATCCGTAAGTCATCACTGGCAACACGCACTGGTTGTACACTTTAGTTTTCAGAGATAGAGGTATACCTGACGAGAAGATGTGTCGTAATTTCCCGAACGCTGCCAAGCCGAGTTGAATCCGTCGATTGACCTCTCGGTCGAAGTTGGACTTACCTAGTCGGACTATTTGTCCCAGGTAAACGTACTCGTCAACAACTTCGAGCATAGTGCTCCCAACAACTACCGGCACAGGTGTGACATGGACATTAAACATGATCTTTGTTTTGTCCATGTTCATCTTAAGACCTATCCGTTGGGAGGCACTATTGAGGTCATTGAGTATAGTGCTAAGGTCCTCCAGCGATTCTGCCATAAGGACTATATCGTCGGCAAATCGAAGGTGAGTGATGTACTCGCCATTGATGTTAATACCGTATACTTTCCAGTCCAGTAGCTTGAAACGCAGCGGTGAAGAGTTTCGGGGAAATAACGTCAACCTGTCTCTTACACCTCTTTGCAGTTGGATAGGTTTCGAACTCTGGTTCTGTACTCGGATAGCCATCGTAGCCCTACTGTACAAACACTTCAGCACTTCGATATACCGACAGTCAACTTGGCATCGCTGAAGAGACTGTAGCACCGCCCAAATTTCGACGGAATCAAAGGCTTTCTCATAGTCCACATACGCCAGGCAAAATGGCAGATTGTACTCTTCGGTCTTCTGTACAATCTGCTGCAGGGTATGTATGTGGTCTATGGTACTGAAGCCTTTTCGGAAACCGGCTTGTTCGGGAGGATGGAAGTCGTCGAGTCTGCGTGCGAGACGATTCGTAATGACTCTCGAAAACAGCACGTAGACGCGGCCCAGAAGGAAATCGGTCTGTAGTTCTTCAAGAGAGCGTTGTCGCCTTTATTAAAGAACAAGACCACCGCACTTCTGCTCCACGCCTCCGGAGTAGTGCCACCATGGAGGACGGAATTGTAGAGCTTCTGAAGGACTTCAAGTACTGGTGTTCCACCCGCTTTCAGAAGCTCCGCATTAATTCTGCTGCTGGAGAGCCATTCTGATCTCGCTCAGACTGACGTTCGGGATATCATCGGAATAGTGTCGGGTAAGACTTGCTCTTGGATCGTTACTCACACTTGCGAAATGAAGCTGCCCATAGAACCTCTCAATCTCACTCAAAATTTCAGGTGTCCCGGAAACGATGCTGCCACACTCAGTTTTCAGCTTTGACAGTTGGCTCTTTCTGGCAGACAGATCTCTGGCAAAGACTTTGGAGCCCTGGTTCCGTTCGATCGCTTCTTTAATACGAGCAGTATTAAAGTTGGGTAAGTCTCGCCGCATGCATTTAGAGATCTGTCTGTTCAGTTGCCTGTATGCTGTCAAATCTGTTGACGATTGCAGCCTCATCAACCGTCTAACAGCCATGAGATTAAGAGTGTGATCGGAGAGTTTTTGTGTTCTTCTGCGGCGGGTCATGCAGAACTTAGCTCCGACCGCATGGACAGTTTCCACGAGCTTGTCATTCATATCGTCCACTGCATTGCAATCTTCTAGGCACTGGAAGCGGTTACGTAACTCGAGCTGAAAAGTCTCGGGATTCTGGATTAGAGCACGAGGGGGTTTAACTTAACGTTTAGGTTCAGTGTGCCTCTAACCATTCGGTGATCGCTGCCGGTTTTCACCCTTGCGATCACTGAGTTACTAAACTTGGTGGGTACCAAATCATTACCAAACCGAAAAATATGCAAATGAAGCTACGGCTTTATTTTGCTTACGGCTTTTTTGATCCCAGGCTTCCTACCCTTTTTGGGAGGATTATAGAGTAATTAGTCCGTCTTAGTCGTGAGGCACCAGGGCGTGTTGGTGAATTTTAGAAATCCCGCCGAAAATCAAAAACGTCACGTTGTCACGATGTTTTCCTACACTGAAGCTGCGGGTAATATTGCTAAAGAATAAGTGAGTGAAAGACAGCTCTATTCCTGTTGGATATAAGTGGATCGATCCAATTAGTAGTTACACGATTGTCATTATGTCTACTAAGCAGTTTGGTATTATACATTATTGGATTTTCAGGTATTTTTTATACAGTAAGGTGGTAGTGATTTTAAGTGGATACTGTGGCTCATAGACATTTATTTTCAATTTAGAATTAAAATGCTACTTGTTGGTTGGTAATTGGAATGCCTTGTTTCCAGTAAAAAAGAGAAGATTAACTTGTGGGGGGATAATGCCTGTCTGATGAAGGCACAAAATACGACAATTTTTGTTCAAAGTAAAGCCTTTTAAGATTTCCTCGAAAACTACTTACTACTAACTACTAAATAGTACTAACTTTGGTCAAATAGTTTGGTTGCATGATAAAATGGACGTCTATCGTATACTTACGTCGCTGGCGAGACGCTCGTACTCTTCCATGAGGCGTTCATTCTCCTGGTTGACTTTGAGAACCTTGCAGATACGGTTCGCGGCCGTTTCAGCCTATTAGTATAAAAGATAAGAAATCAGTTTAGTTTTGTTGTAGGTATTCGAAAACATTATTTTTTTAGCGTGTTCATTTAATTATATTGAAGCAACAGTGGTTGATAGTTAATTTAAGCATTTTCAAAACGTTTTTACCATGAAGGTAAAATGCATTAAGGTTATTTGACTGTTATCCATAATACCGTTTCAAATTAAAAATGTAAGTACACTCTATAATCAAATTCAGAAAATAATCCTTAAAAGTATTTTGCTGTGACTTTCGTTCATCATGATTTCGTACAACTTGGGAAGAACTAATTTATATTTGCGATTTTTTTATACCTTATATAAGTACTTTTACTCACTTGCTCGCTTGCTGCTCTAGCTTCATTAAATACGAATGGAACGTCATTTATATCACATTCTTTTTTAAATTCTCTTTTGTTGTAATAAGGCGTGTTATATTAAGGCGATTTCATAATATCGACAACTGTTTTAACGGAATTGCATATTGTTTATCTTTTAGTGTCCAAAATATATTATATTTAGTATATCTTTTCACTATCACTACAAGTTCACTGCTGAACATAGGCCTGTCCCATAGATTGCCACAAATTACGTTCCTGAGATATTTGCAACTATTGACTGCCTGCAAGTTACATCACGTCGTCTCACCATTTAGTATTTAATTTTGAACGCGTCGCTCAATATTATATCACCTTTACGAGAGTTATAAATACCTTACCTACCGTATCTTTTAATCGTATGAAATTTTAATTTGATATTAGTTAAATAACTCTTCTCGCATAACCAAAATCGCCTAAACATAACTAATAATAATAATAATGTCTTCCAGACCGAATTTCGGCCACGGCGGCCTGCCTCAACGGAGGCTAGTCATCGGCGCAGGACAGGATTATAGTGCCCAAGTGTATGCGCAAGCACAGGTGCACTCTCTATTCCTTCACTCTCATAATTCGATGGGACGGTAAACCGACATGGCCGGGAGAGAGACCAGGCGCAGGACCAACGGCTTTACGTGCTTTCCGAGGCACGGGGGTGAGAAACCGTCAACTCCCTGACTCCGGGCAGCTACTGAGAATTTCTTGACAGAAAAACTTAATAATTAATTTTTTGGCCCGACCCGGGATTCGAACCCAGGACCTCATGATCAGCAGTCGCACTAATAGACCAACGAGGCAGTCATAGTCATAGCAGTCATCAACATTACTACAAGAGTGTCGGATATTATGTAACAGTCAAACAGCCTTTTATGATGTTTGTAATACAAACCTTCTGTGCGCCTGAGAAGCAATGGTAGTAGGAGGACACGTAGGTCATGACGGCGCGTTCGTCTGGCATCGCCGTGTTCTGCAGATCTAGCGATTGGCACGCGAGCGACAACGGGTTAGTTTACATGCGAACTTATTGTATTCGATAACGAACAGAATGCTTCAATATGAAAATAAAAATACACGAACTGAGTTATGCAAGTCAAATTAATTGTGGGATACAAAGTACACAGCACTTTCTATTGTTGTGCCGTTCGAATTATTATAGAGGCTGTTTGTCAAGTAATAAATACATAAATGCATCAGTAGTAGACTTGTATGTAGGTAATAGTATATATTAAACGCTCATGCAGGTAACGTGAGTTAACGATTAGACGGCCCGTGTCCTTGCTATCGATGTACCGGCTCATTATGCTGTGAGCCACGTCATGCGTGGCTTTTTAGTTTTTGGATACAGCGTGTGTTATTGATATTTTAGAGTATCTCACATTGCTTTCGAATTCAATAGTCCTTTTAATTGTATTCAGCGATTGCTCAGTTACGAATGTAACAAAGATTATGTAATAAATAAACTGGCCACGTGCCTCTCCCGTAGTAGGAATTTGCCATAATTATAAGGGTAATTATATCATTTAATAAGTGAGGCTGTTTGTGTGTATATGTGATTGTAACATGAGAACAAGCGAAATGTAAATATTTCTTGAAAGGGTTTTCTTGTATTGGAAAATAGCTGTAAGTTTAGAAGGCTGCAAGCATTCTGTTTGTGATCTTAATTATAACACAAAGTTATTAACGAAAAGCTAAAACATTAAAGTATTTTTAGCGTAACTATGTTTTAGCAAACATAGCATAGCTTTAAAGATGATGTATGAGTCCAAATATTTCTATAACAGATTTTTTTATTTAAAAAATGAAATGATGGCTTCTTCGAAAATCAAGGAGGTTTTAATTCTAAAAATACACTCGGATCATGCTATAAGTGACACACATGGCCTGGCGTTCAGGGATCGGTATCATTGGGGGTTGGCGTTAGCGGCAGCCATTTTCATTTTTTTCTATACCTGTTGTGCACCTTGGAACGCGTGGTAGTAACATGACACATAGGTCATAATGGCACGTTCGTCCGGCTTTGGCGTGTTTATGAGGTCTGCAATATTCAGTCATGCCCAATGTAAATAATCAATGTGTAGGTAAAAATTAAATAACATATCTTACGATTTGATAAGCCTAATGAATTTTCTCACCGTAATCTTATTGCAGCTGAAAGAACTATAACTTTGAAGAAACGATTATTAAAGTTATTTCTAAATTTCTTATTCTTTCACAATGACTATAAAACTATCAATGAAATGATATTATACAAATGTTATCTGATGTTGCAACTTTATATAGTTTTATTATACCCAACATGTAGATACCTTATCTTTGTGAAAATTTCATTAGTTCCGGCAATATAATAGAGAAGTTGCATTAATTTTGTTATGCTACTTATATATAAATGATAGAATAATTAATTTAAAGTATATTTAATTTTTTTATTAACAATTCTATTTTTTTATTAATTATTATTAAAAAAGTAGTAAAATTTTTGAATGAAAAGAAAAAAACGACTTTTGATGAGGTGGACGTCATTATATCCATTGAGGTTGTGAGCCAATTGCAATCATGCTATACTTTAGTATTTTCTATATTATTAAAACATTTAAAACATATACATATGTATAATGCAATGATTTTTTTTAATTTTCTCAACGTGAACGTAGTGTTTTATTATTTCACCATGTGGTGACATTATTAAAGCGATATAATGACATCACTGGCGTTTGAATTTACATTTTAGAAAAACAAATTGTTAATTTTTTTGTTTTCTTAATATTTTTTGGTAAACTAAAAAATAATTAAAAACATGCAAATTCTCTATAACTTAGTACGAATTTAAAAGTTTAAACTGTAATGATAATTTTGTGCAGATAACCTTATTTAAAACTTTTGTAATATGTATGTAATCCATCTAATTGAAGCAATTTAAGATTATTTATTTCTAATAAGCGCTATGAATAAATGAAATAATATGCAAAATAACAAAGCTTACCGTCGGGGTCCAACATGCGGGGAATGTCGAGATACTTCTCGGCCACATCGAATGCTGTGTTCAAGTTTTCTAGTGGATTGTCCTTGGACAGTTTGCTGTAGTCGATCAGGTCGGGCCTGTGTCTGTGGATAAGGGCACAGAAGGCCAGACCATCTTTGAACGACAAGTGGAAGTTCTGCACGTTGACGTTCTTGTAAGGTGCCGTCTTGCGTTGACACCAAAGCAGTAGACCTTCCTGCAATTGCACGAAAGAGAAATATGAACATTGTACATATTTTTGCGATTATTTCGAATTCCGTTTCTTTTTGTTTTTTTATTTTTTATTTTAACTAATTCATAAAGAAAATAATACTTCCTTTTTTATTTCGACTTCTTTATAGATAATGAAAGGTTTTATTTGGTATTTAAAGTTACAGCCTATATACATCCCACTCTTGGGCACAGGCCTTCTCTCATTTCTGATAGGGTTTTAGGGCAAGGAATAGTCCACCGTGCTGCCCCAATGCGTGTTAGTGAACTTCACATGTCTTCGAAACATTTTTTTTCTTATTTCTCAGACATGCAGGTTTCCTCACGATGTTTTCCTTCACCGCACGCGGTAAATCAGCACTTAAAATTGCAATTACCAATTTAATTGGTGCCGGCGGGGATCGAACCCGGTTTACTCGCATATTGTGAAATTTACAGCGAACGCTAACCATCTGAGCTAAAAAACATTATCAATGAACAACTACTAATCAAATTAGTAGTGGTTTCAGAGAATCGTCTATCCCGTTGCAAATGTCAATCAAGAGAATTGTGAAGAAATCCTTATAGTCTTACAGATTGCGAGGTAAACATTAAAAAATGCCAAATCTAATTTCATACAATAAGGGTGATAAACGAGCACACAGTCTACCTGAAGGCAAGTGGATGCTGTGGCTATACCTATATTTCCTCGATTAAGAATCAAAATGCCTCGTTTCCAGTGAAAAAGGTCACCGATTTTCTACACATACCATATGAAACAAAGCAGCTGATATATTACGCAGGTATTCTGTAAGAACGTGGTCCTTTTCCGGTCGAGATAACCCATTCGTGCTACAACCATAATATACCTGCAAACGTAGCTCTACAACGTGAAAATATATACTCGTATATTCTAAACCAGTGACGAAGAGCGAGGAATTTGGTACACAATTATGGTAAATCGTACCAGTTTAATAGGGTCCTTTTAGGGAACATCATATATATGATGTTATATTGCAGTTTATTCCAATCACCTTTGTCAACAAATCTTATAACTACAACATACTTTAGCAATAAAACTACAACGTTTTTATGGACGTCCAAATTTATTGGTATTTAAAAGTGATCATATCGATATTAATTTATTAGTGTTGATCGATCATTGATCGAAGAGTCGGATAATACCTATCCGACTTTGCGAGGAAAGTCCAATGACCTCAATAATGTTCTTGGTCTCGATTATATAGGTATGTAGTTTAAGGAGCCAAATTTAGCTTTTATAGGTTCATAGTAAATCTTAGCTTTGAGGCCCATAAAAGTACAGCCGGACATGGGCTTCTCCCATTATTATAAGGATATTTGCTTGAATAATCACAATCGACAGCCAGTTTGACGAGAATCCAGTTGCAGTACCATCTCGCACCTTGAAAGTACCTCTCCGTTGCCGGCCTGGATATTTTATATATGTTGTCAACCATCTGACAACATATATAAAATATCCTAATATATAATAATGAAGCGCTAACTATCTGAGCCGCGGTAGCTCAGATGGTTAGCGCTCGCTGTAAATTTCACAGGACGCGGGCAAACCGGGTTCGATCCCCGCCGGCACCAATGAAATTGTTTATTGCAATTTTAAGTGCTGATTTACCACGTGCTCGGCGGTTAAGGAAAATATCGTGAGGAAACCTGCATGTCTAAGAAATAGGAAAAAAATAATAATTCGAAGACATCATGTGAAGTTCGCCAACGCGCATTGGGGCAGCGCGGCGGACACTTCCTTGCCCTAATACCCTCTCAGAAATGAGAGGAGGCCTGTGCCCAGCAGTGGGACATATATAGGCTATAATTTTACTTTACTTTACTTTGTCTACGAGATGATAACACCGTCATCGTAAGCCACGACATTATTCTGATGTCGTGGCTTACGATGACGGTGAACGACTGGTTGAAATAGGTTTACATACATCCTATACCTTTAAACGAGCAATTCTTATATATATATATATATATATATATATATATATATATATATATATATATATATATATATATATATAAGAATTGCTCGTTTAAAGGTATAGGATATATATAATCGGAATCTCGGAAACGGCTCCAACGATTTTCATGAAATTTAGTGTCCAGGGAGTTTCGGGGGCAATAAATCGATCTAGCTAGGATTTTTTTTAGAAAATGTTTTTTTGTCACTGTGTTAATGATCGTAATAGCTCAAGTGGATAGCGAGCGGTCGCAAAATCGTAATGCCTTGGTTCGCGTCCCGTCTTAGGTCCGACTTTTTTTTTTCAAGTTCCCTTCTTTTGTGAGAAAATCTATTATTTCCAGCACTTTTTTTAGTATTTTATAAAAATACAAAATTTTTAATTAAACTGATTGGACTCATGATTTTTATTCATATAACCAGTTCAGTTTTTTCTATTATTTCAATAAGATCAAAAAATATTATTCATCATTATGTTATTTGTATCTAAATGTAATTTCAAAACAAAAAAAAAAACCGAGCAAAGCTCCGTCATTCGGGTACTGTTAGTAAATGGTTGATATACAAATAAATCAGAATATACCTTTGCGGTCATTTCTTCCACGGAGATGTCCTGGATGGCGAACCTGAGAATGATGGTCCAGATCATACCCAGGGTCATTTTGAGATTACCGTCAACGATTTCTTCGGCACCGATCGATACCAATTTTACGCCTGTAAACAGAAAATGTTATTTTTTAATATTGTTTTAGTTCCATTACATTCTATTCCTTAAAAATATTTGTTTGTTGCTATAAATTAGTATTAGTAATAATACGAATTTAAAGAATTGGATAAATATATTGAATGAAAAAATAAATCGTAGAGGTGGCAATTATTACTTTCTATGCCATCTATGAAATAAATTAACTTCTAACCCCTTAAATTTAGTTTAATTTTTCACTTCTTTCAATGACGGACAATTGACTACATTAAGATGGATTGATGAGATAGTACGGGCCAATTTGTTATTATTCTCAATAAGCCTTATTGGTATTATTTGTGTTTATACAAAATACAAAAGGAGAACAACCATTATCAATTCATACGTATTGTTGAAATAATAATAATATATAAGTGTTAATATTGTATCCCTAATTTTTAACAAATTTTAAATGTAAAATAAAATCGGGCCTGTACTAACCAAATGCAATTTAATTTATAAGGTAAGTATATTTAAGATCCAGTTTTGCTTTTTATATGTGAAACTGTTATCGATATGTGAAACTGTGACTAACATAAAAAAAATAACAATTTTTTAATTCATTTGTCTCTTAAAAACACCAGTATACATAAGTCCATATCTAGATTTCACAGTTGATAGTCTGACTAATTTTTAAACTGAGGATATAATTATGACTTATTTTGGAAAAATTCGCTTTAGGAGACAATTAAAGATAGCTTGGAAACTAGAAGACTAAACTAAACTAAAATATTGGACATTAGAAGCTGCTAATTATTAAATAGACGATACCATAGTGCTACAAATCACAAATACACTTAATTTATGGAATAAAACTAAATTATTAAATTATTAATTAAGTTCGCGTAAATTTAAGAAATCATTACACTTAATTTACTATAAAAAAATAAGTGATGCTTATGCTGTAAGATCGGAGGTAGACTATGATGCAGCTAGGATAATAGGGGCACAGAGACAATTACAACACTCCTGCTGCGCAATTTTGTAATTTAAGTTTTGATACAATAATTTGGAACCTAAAATTAGATATAATTACTATAATACCTAAGTATAATAAAGCTTATAAAACTAAAACTAACTATCATCAGGTGATGAAATTATCATATCAGCGGTTCTTAGTACGTCTGCAAAATTTACGATTGTTCAGATGCCCAGAAGTGGGTAAAAACTGAATTTAAAAAATCCTCACATACACATAGATCAACCTAGTGAAAGCGTGGTAAAATTTCTTTTTATCAATACTGATATTTACAAACTATGATACTCCGAAGAAGAAAACGAATCTGACTCGCATTCCGAAACCGATCAACCTGTTTAGGTGACAAAAGGTCATATCACTCGGGAACAGGAATTATGCCGCGTAGTGGCAGTGTAAGAATATAATAATATAATTTAATATATATAATATAATAATATAATATAATACACTATCACATATCATCCCGTGGGTGTCGTAGAAGACGACAGAGGGAAAACAAATCAGGAGATGGGCAGCAGGGTCTTCCTAATAACGACTAAAAGTTAAAAAAAACTGCGGTTGCCAACCGGCTTGCCAAACGTGATAACTATGGCAATATCCTATATATAATAATATATATAAGGTAGTCTATGGGGGAGGCCTATGTTCAGCAGTAAAGCTTAAAAACAGTTTTCATTTAAGCCTTATTGCTTAAGTAAAGACAAATTCCAGTGTCTTTATGTATTAAGAGGTTAGAGTAAGTCAGCTCAAATTCTAATTTCGCCCCCACTTCCCCTCGCGTCGTATGCTATGTACCGAAATATTTGTAATCACTAATACTGTAAGTAGAAAGGTCGTTAGACACTTATTTCATTAGGTTTATCATATTTATGCCTGTTTCTTAAAGCCAAGCCAGCCGCTTCTTATTTTTATCATGGTTATTTCCCACTTTAATTTTACGTCGTACTGTTGCGTACAACAACACCCACAACTTCTCCCTTCAAAAGCCTAAGCGATACTAACGGAACGACAGGAATCAAGCTCAAGACGCCGATAGTTTAGGTAATTTCTTTTTACAGTGAAAATAATGGTATTTAAAAAAAAGTAAATAACATAAGCACTGCTTTATAGTTAGTTCAGTTAGTATGCAAAGTTTCATGATCTTATTTAAAGTATTTTATGAATAACAGCGGTTTATTGTTTATTTTGGAGGTAACTTTGGATTTTTTTTCTATCGAGAAAATTTTACGAAATCGTGTTTTCGTCTAACATAATCACTAACATTAATCCTCAACTTTACCATATATTTATTTCAAAATTAATGCTGCAATATTTTCGGCATAACGAAGAATCTTGCTAAGCCATTTGACATTATATTTCCCCTTAAGGATTAATAGCGGGTTTATCGGTGAGCCAAAGCGTCTCAAGGAAACCTGCATTCTCGATGATGTTTGCACACAAAAATGTCATATACTCGCAATGCGGAAAAATATCCAATGCATTGAGTGATATATAAAAAAATAGTTTTATTCCTTTTTATTCACTGTAAGTATATGGAGTTACAGAAGCACTTTAATAGCGTATGAAACGATAGTTTGATTAGATATTACCATTTCGACTTACGAAAAAAACGTCTTATTGTCTGCTTTTGTCTACTGTTTCATTTTAAAAGTATCGTCTATGTAAGCCCAGGTTGCTCCAAACAAGGTTTACTCAAGGGTTACTTTTTTCGTATGGTAAGCGACGAGAATTTTTTACTGGTCACGAGGCATTACATCTTATTCCTCAGGGGTGACCACGCATCTGCATTTTGATTCCTAGAATGGTCACAGTAGCTAGGTGGACTGTGTGCCCGTTTGTCGCTCATATCAAAAAACTAAAAGCAATGTTTTCTGCCCGTGGTAATTTAGACAGTCCATCATAGAAAATAATATAGGGTTACTTTGATAAAAAAGCAGACAGTAATGTAGCTCGTGTTAATTATTCTATCTAAAATTTTGTTCTTTTAGGTCTTCTGTTATCACGAAACATGCAAAGGCATGTAGAATGCCTTGGCCTGGTTCGAATACTTAATGTTTTACACACACAAATGAAATACTGATATTGTCTTAGCAATCGAATAATCAGCTTTAAACATTTTAAATAGACTGTAAACTTAATAAGCGATTTTAATTTATTGTATGACCTTTTTATTTTAGTGTCGATCTTAAAAAAATGTAAAACTTTAAGTCTCTTAACATGTTTAAGTACGTATTCGTATTCATTGTAATACATGGAAATATTTTATGATGAGTAATAACAGATGCGGCTCCAGTCTAAATGATGATAGGTGTCTACCGCGTTTACAATTCTGATGATGAAAATTTGTTTTCAGTACAAATTGATTTCAGCGAATGCTCGTGCTGTGTTTAATCATCTAGCTATGAAATTAGAAAACAAAAATCGTTAAATAGGAAATTTGAGGATGTGTATTATAGTTAGATTCTTAAGGGTTCTCGAACACTACAGGTTTAAATTTGTAAAATGAAATTTGTATCAGAATAATTATAAGACATTTACATCATAGTTATCTGTTACGACTCTTACCTTTAGATGCGATGAAGTCCAAGGCTTTGTTGACATTTGCGATCTTGTGGAAGCGCATCTTGCCACGATCAGGTTTGGGCAGAGTTTCTCCGGAGATGACCTCCAGCAATAACATCAGCTTCAATCCATTCCTGAAATCTTCATCGATGTTTTCAATGCCAGTGCCGGCCTTTCTCAAGTGGCTGTTGCACCATGCTGTGAATGTCTGTGAAAACATATGCTGCATTAGATGCAGGTAAAATATACGCAAAAAATATTGTTTTTCAGATCCAATTGACGTTCATACTTAAATCCAGCTGCAAGGGATAGGCAGACAATAATAATAATTTTTTTGTTATTGTATAGGTAATAAATAAAAAAAGAAGAATCTGATTTCAACTGGTCTACATAAACCATTATATTACTTTATTATTTGTTTTTGTCTATGGATTTATTCAATCTATCCGAATATGGAAATGGTGACATTTTTACGTTACTGTGTGTATAAAAATTATCTACTTTGTAGGAATAGAGTGAAGTGTCTATTATCGGCGTTTACAAACCATCCGGTTCGCAGAAATATTAAACGCCATACTTATTCACAGTTTTTAATTGGAATTCATGCAGAAAAGCTCTTACGTTTCAAATAAATTGTAGTCTATTATCATTAGGAAAATCGTAGATTATATACAGAGGATAATGTTCTAAATTTAAAATTTAGTAATTTGCATTTAAAAAGTCAAAAATTCAGAATTTATTTATATTTTTCTCGTTTGTTTATTATTTCTGTATCGTGGGCTTTATTTGAAGAAACTTATTATACTTGAAACTTACATCTATAAAAGGTAGTAAGAAAGTTTATGTAATAATAAGTTACCGTTATCAGAACACCAAGAATGTTTTGAATTTTTAATCACTGTAGGAAGTTATAAATAATTCTTATTCAATATAAACCAACTCGATCGAGCTTAACGATATAATAAAAATTACAATGACATTAACAGGCAACCGTAAATTTTGTTGTCGCGTTTGTGTGGAATTTTTATTGGTCTCAGATTTGAGATCTGCGTTGAGAAATTCCTTATAAGGGTACGTATGTTGTGTATAGATTACTAGTTACTCTTTGTTTTTTATTCGAGTATATGATTGGAGTCCATGTAATTTATTTTAATTCGTTATGTGTATAATGAATATAAGACTAATTTGCCTTCTGAAATATAATTTTAATTTGTACTATCCTTGTCCACAAAAATTAACAAGGAACAAGAGCATCAAATTTCAGACCTTACCGTCGGGTATTAAAAATAAAATAAATAAAACGCGATAAAATCCGTAAAAGTAGTTTTAATCAATGTGTAGTGTTCGCGTAAATATAAGAAATCATTATTCAGAACTATAAAATCCATGTTTTACGGCCCATTTAACGACGACATATTCCGTATACTAATGCAAATCAAGAGCAGCGCATGCTACGTCCTGCTGTAGTCTTAACTTAAACCACCAGTCTAACATAACACTTATCTGAAAAGATCTAGCGAAAAGGGCTTAGGAATTAGGATAAGACAAACTTGGTGCTGCTTTGGTCCTATGCCACAGACTCTTATAAATCAGCAGTGTCTAACAGCGCTTTTGTGAGACGTTCTGTGTAAAGGCTTAGGAGACAACGCATAGGCTATTATTGTCTTAACCTAAACTACCAGTATGAAACATAACACTTATGTGGAAAAGATCTCGTATAAAAGGTTTAGGCTAAGGCATCATTGACGAGCGTTCGTTGAGGCGGTGCATTCGGTTTGCATAATACACATTAAACACACGCTCTTGTATTAGAGTAATTGTAGTCGCTCAAAATGTATGTCAAATGTCCGCAAAGCCGCATGTTCGGATACACTGACGTATGCTTTTTACTGAGGCCTTTTTTAATTTATACAAGATTGAAATTTAGTATCAAAGAAATAGACACTAACAATGTTACGGTTGTTGGTCAAGAAATAGACTCATTTAAAACGTTAGACTTAATAAAGAGTGCTATTCTAATAGATAATATCATATAATACAAGGAAACTGAGGATATTACTATCGGTACTTTTCAGTTTAAGCAAGGAGCGTATGCGCCTTTTTTGACCCTTAAATTTATTTTAGAAGTACCCCAAAATAATACGCCAGTAATTTCACATAGACATTATTGATAATAATACGCGTTGAGAATATTTTGTGATTTCCAATTAATTTTTTCATCAATGTGGCAAAATATAATTTAAAAGGTTTTCCTTTTTAGTAATTATTATTATGCTCACTAAGTAAGATGTACATGTACAAGTGTGATGCTTGTATCCCAGTTAAGAATCGAATATAAAAAAATATTTTGTTTAGGTGACAAATATTACAAAACTAAATCTAAGTTGGATTACAATTACGTAGAACAGGTAGGTTAAGTTCTTTAGTAAACAAATAACAATAGAGCCGGTTGCAATGGCGTTGGGAATCACCAATTGCATTTGAGCAAATCAATACTGCAGCGTGCATCAGGTAGGGGAGCGACAGACGGGGGTCCGACCCTCGGCCAAATTTGCGAGGGGCTATTAGCACTCGCTACGAGTATATGTAACCTTCCAATGGATAACTTTGTAACGCAAGAATATTCAATTAACACAACCAATTTTAATTTGAGATCTGTTATAATATACCTTCTGTATTAAAAAAAATTATTACTTAAAATGATTGTCCACTTAAAACGTGAAACAAATAACTAAGAGTTCGCTATGCGCGTGTGCACGATTTAATAAATCACAATTATTTTTACTAAAGAAACTCTGTCTAGTAGAACTTCGTATAGTCTTTTTCAATGTTGATCGAATTGATGTTAATCTTGTAATAATTGCGAGACGTAAAAATTATTTATAAGTAGAAAACGAATTTCTTAATTGACATACATCCGATATTTCATTACAAGCTAATTCTAAGACAATGTAAATAAATTATTGAAGTATGGGCCGGTGTGTTTTAACATTCGCCGATACTCGCATATTTTAGTGCTATGAGTCAGTTCACGAGATATGTTTTGAAGGTAGTTTGTGATATTTTCGGTAGTCCAGCTTCTTTTACGTCATTTGTATAGTTTAATCCAAACAGCTAAGCCGTCAATGCGGCTGAGATCATTAATGGCGTCATGCATCTTAAGACACTTTCCTTGTCTTGTACAAATAATTTCAAGGTCACTGTTGCCTGTGGCTACTGACGCCTGAAATTTAGGTACTGGTTTACGTGCTAGGTGGTGGACGAAAACATCGTGAGAAAGCCTGCATGTCATGTCTGCTTGTTTTGCTAGATGGTACACCATTTATGTCTAGTTATTCGTCCGCCTAGATACCACGCTTCTACCTATTTCAGCCATTAAATAGTAGTGTTTTGGACTGATGTGTTTTGAAGGGTAAAAGAGCCAGTATAATTACAGACTGTGAGGAATATTTTATAGGATAGGGTGACAAACGAGCACACAGCGCACCTGATGGTAACCCGGTGGTTGCTGTGGCCCATAGACATCTACATCTATCCTCGATTACAAATCAAAATGCAGAATAGAATAGAATAGAATAATTTTTATTCAGTATAGATTACAAGTAATTCTTATTGAAAGTCAATATTTTACGTTACCAGTGGTTCGAAAAAAAACCTCTGTCCTGGGAAGCACCAGCAAGAAACCCAGCGGGACTTTTAAAAAAAAATTTACAATGTCAAGGGTCACAAAATATTTACAAATTTTATTTTAGAAACAGCTTGGAAGCGACCACCTCATTCCCAGGGGTTATTATCAACCATGTGTTCATTTATATCATAATAACCTTACCTACCTTGGTAATAGAGAGACCTTGTATATTTTCTGGGAATTTGTTGTAATAGCGTATACATTGCCCCAAGAACGAATTCCTGACTCTGTGGAGTCAATCAAGACAATAAACAGATGCGTTGTCACCCGTGAGGACTAAGATAGAATGCCTCGTTTCCAGTAAAAAGAGTCTCCGGTTCTCTACACTCTCCATACGAAACCCAGCAACATTAAGCTAATATTTGACGCTTGTATTCTGTGAGAGCGTGATCCTTCCCCGGCCGAGCCGACCCATTCGTGCCACAACTGTACTACTAATATAACTGCAGCATGGCTCTATCACGTAAACATTTTTTAGATGTCCCATGTTAGTCCTCAGATGAGACAACGTATCTGTAGCTTGCTTTGGTAAAACGTGGCTGCAGATGTCCACTGTCCATGTACTGCAGTCAGTAGCTACTTACCATAGAATACTATAATACATACATAATAGAACGGGGGAGTGAGCGGAGCCCGTGTAGCCACTAACATGTCACTAACACGTCAATTCACACCCATAAATGTCAACACAATCAATCGTTTCCAATTTTCGTCTCAAGCGTCGCTGCATGCAAATTATTTAAAAAATGGCAACTTGTGCAATAATTGCGTGTCGAAAGAACAGCGGGAAATGGAATTTAAATAAAGGAGACATATTCTACACCCAGTAAGTCGAAACTATTTATATTTTGTGAATATTAGAAACAAAAATAAAGAAACATTTACGTGTCAAAAACATTAATCAAAAGTCTAAAATGTGTTTGTAGTAGTGATAACTGATAATACGACGTAATTGCTTGTATGTGTGCTCCCGGCGACGCCAATCCTCCTACAAAGTAAGGTTGACAGCCATTCTATTGCGTACTAATAGTATACAATGCTACTTACCATCAGGTTGACTGGAAGTAGGTACGTTTGTCACTCCACTTTTATAAAAAAATCTGTTCTTTTCATTGACTTTATTCGACTAACGCATGAATCTTTCTCATTTTGTTCGCATGCTATGTGTAGCAGCCAATCATTTCGCAATATTATGTAAGAAATTGCAACGTAGTAAAGTATAACTAGTACACAATTTGTAGGAGACATTTTTATACTAACTGCAAAAGTTTAGTGTACAAAGTAGACCTCGTTAGTAAAAGCATTGTCTGGAAACATATTTGTATAGAATAAGAAATAATAAAAAGTTTTTTTTAGATTTTGTAACTTAGACCTTACGAGTAGACTATTAATACCAAAAGGCCTATTGTTTCAAAAGTAAGTCTATTCAAAAGTCAATTAATGTCTGAGAAGCCAATATTTTCTCTTTAAATAAATACGTTATTAAAAACGTCTAAAAACACTAAAATTTGTATGAATTA